GAAATATATCTCGTAGTGGCGCTCGGTCTCACAACGAGAACGACGCCATGGGGGTCCTAACTCGAAATCTTCTGGCCCTCACGGGGACACTACAGCTTCCCTCCCCATCATGGAAAGTGCGTCTGTCCACAGGAGACCGATTCTGATACAGGCTGCAACACAAGACAAGATAGGCATACACATCTGTGGAGAAAACGATTTAGATTCGTCGGTCATCATGCATTAACCTGGTAACCCTAGTTTCCCTGTGATTAATCCTAGGCCCCGATTACCCTGAGAACCTTTACAGATCGTAACAAATTTAAGAACCTATATTCGCTATAAACATGACAACTTACTATGTGCGACACTGACCATAAAATAAATTTAGATTGACACTAAAAGTAAACGTAAATCAAAAATTAAAAATAATCAAGCTAAAAGTTACAAAATATCAAACGTAAAATTAATAAAATGCAGGTAACAATATAAAACTGAACATAAAATTAAATATTACAAAGATACCATAGTAACTCACCTGCGACCTGGATCTGTTGATACATTCACTCTCATTCACACACATTTCTCACGTCATAGAGTATATACCTTAGCTATTAATGCCTCACTTCCTCGTTATTGCCGTTTTCCCAAAAGAAAAAAATCGGCAAAGTGTAGTTCCGATGGAGGAACAAAAAGCTTCAGTTGGCTTGCATGTACTCGAGCCTACGTCGGTGGCGCTGGAGCTCCGAATAACGTTCGAAAGCGACCGGGGTCCCAATTTCTTTGTGATTGCGACATGGGCCGATCCACCGGTCCTGCCGAGCCTCTCCCCTCGCGGTCCTAGAACCTTCCTCATCACGAGTGAACCTCATTCGAAGCCGTCGCGTATTTGCTTCTTTATCTAGAGTCCCCGTTTGTTAGTTTCTGAACTTGCTGGGAACTTCACTGCTAGGGCGCCGAGCATCGTGAGTCGTTGAACCGTCAAATCTTCATCGACCACCTGCGCGTTGTCCAGACCCCTCGGGAAAGAATGCCATCCGGCCTGTAAGAAGATATAGTGGGTTGCTCCGATACGACCGATGACTGGCAGAATTCAAGCAAAGCGACTGCTGGCAGTACAGTGGCCACTGTGGGGTGATTCCCGGGTTCCGACTAAGGCCGCCAGCGTCCTTTACAGCCGCTTGGTTCGCTCGATCATGCCCTTCGATTGGGATGATATGCACCGAGAGCGATGTTTTAACTGCCAGGGCCGACAGGACGGAGCGCCATTCAGCAATGAGAACTCAATCCCGTTGTCGTTATGTAACTTTGCGGGTGGGCCGAACAGCGTTACGAAGTTGTCAACAAAAGCTCCCAAAACGCGACTTTGCGACTTGTCACGTAAATGTACTAGCTGTAGAAAGCGTGTATGGTATCGACGATCGACAGCACAGAGCGGAAACCCCTGGCAGAACTACGTAGATCCCATTAGTGTCCGCCGACGACGGAGTTTTTCTAAGGGTGCAGTGGGTGGGGGTTTGATGATGTAAGGGTATCCGAGGTGCCTTCCCCTTTCGCGTTGGCAGGCCCACGCACCCTCAGCACATACTTCTGGGACCTTTGTTAGCATATTAGAAAAGACCATTGGGCCTGCAGAGGTTGTGGTATTTTCGAAGGGCACCTGATGAGTCGCAGAGGGAGGGGCAGTGAGCCCTGTGTAGCGCCTGAGGGTAGAGCTTTGAGGACAAGATCTGTTTTAACCACTTCTATCAGAAGATGTCTAAGGAAGTAAAGTACCCCCCTTTCAATCTCGCAGTTCGATAGGGCTGCTGAGGTTGAGACTTGGGGAGCGGATATTCTCCCTCTAGCCAGTTGTGAGGTCCTTGCAGATGGGTCCTTCACTGTTCTTGTCGCATTTGCTTGGAGTCCATCGACCGCTAGGGCAAGGATTTGGTGCCTCCATTTTGGTCATCTGTTAGGTAGCGGCAACAGGAATGAGTGGTAAGAGAGAGCTGCATTGACTGCGTACGCCCTGGGGAGTGTTGCAGCTTCCCGGTTCTTCACCATGTGGCAAACTAGCAGTCTCAGTGTCTCCCACCTGTTCACTGGGACAAAGCTCCTCTCTGGCTCATCTACACCACCACAGGCCTAAAAGAAGTCTGGCTCATGATTAGAAGCTCCTTTCTTATAGTGCAATGTCAAGTCTAAGCACAAGTTCATAGGCATCTTACTGAGGCCTGTACTTTTTAGTTTTCTTAGAGAAAACATCAGTAGAGGCTGGTTGTTCTGTCCGATACTGAACCTCCTACCATACACATAAGCACTGAAGGCTCGAACAGCCTCAACAACTGCAAGTGTCCCTCCAAATCTATTGTCTGGATACCTCGTCTCAAAGCCTCCTTAGTATTCAAGACCAGTAACTTACTGCATGAGACAACACCATCTTCATCCTTCTGGAGGCAGGATGGCACCAGGGCTTGCCCACTGGCGTCCGTATGTACCTCAATGGATGACTTAAGTTTGGAGCTGAAGAACAGGGACC